GCACAGAGAGAAACATAAAAGAACATAGTGTGAAGTACAGCTTATGGTATAAAAATGGTCAGGCACTCAAACAATTTAAAGGTGCTACATGTGATAGTTTTTATTTCTGAAAATTAAATGATTTTTTGCAATAAGTGCTGTTATGTGTTATCCACATTACCTGCAAAATGAAATGGTTATTTTTTTTGTGCCATAACGGTGCCATAGCAGTTCAGTAGGGCCAACACCGGGGCAATGATCTCATTAGTTTTTATGGTAAATATTATATTTATTATTTTATATATATAGTAGATATATTTATATATACATCTTAAAATCAAGAGGTGACATGGCCTTATCATTACAGATGTCAGGTGTCGGCCTGGAGAGATCCGTGTGTGCATACGCATTATTTCACAGAACATGACCACAGCCCTTGAAGCGCCAATGCATGTGTGCTCTCTCTGACCTGCATAGTGTAAGATAGCTAGTCTGTCGATATTGGCAGATGAAATAAATGAAACAGGTTCAAACTGGTCAAAAACTATTGAACTAAAAGGGGCAGAGGAGGGATCAGGGGCTCATAGCACACCCATAGGACAAATCTTAACTATTTTTTTTCACAAAGAAAGCAAGAAAAAGGTAGCAGAGGACAAGTCAAGCTATACAGAACTAGGATTAATAACACCTTAGGATTATGATAATTATCTGCGATACGTTGAGAGAGATATTGAGCCTTGAGCTTGAATATTATCATGCTTCTTCAGTCCAAACGGAGCACATATGTCCAAAATATCAGACTAGGTGGATTTAAACAGTGCCAATATGTCATCCACAGACTCTACGGGACAAGCACTAACTGAATCAGAGAGCAAATGATCCTCGAAAGCCTCAGAAAAGAGAGAAGGAGTCAGCCAGGTAAATATGCAACATCATCGAGCTGGTAGACGAGGATTGATTATAGGATGGGGGCACAAAATTGAAAAGGACAGGTAGATGGTCAGAGAGCCTTGAATCACAAACTTCCCTCTTGTAGAGAGAGAGAGTTCAGCTGAAAGGAGCAGACCAAGAGTCTGCCCCTGGATCCGAGTAGGACTATGCACTGACTGAGTCAGGTTAAACGAATCAATAAGATTCATAAAATCCACAACCAACGGATCAGACAGGCAACAGACATGACTATTGAAGTCTCCAA